TGTCAACGCGTCAGCTGTGTTGAATAAAAACAAAACAGATGGAAATCAGTGATGTAGGTTCTACGAAATTTTTCGAAGATCTATAGAATTGATTGAATTCTGTAAAAATACGGATTCGTAGGAAAAATTCTCAGAAGCTAAGACGTTTTTTAGGGATTTGTTATGTTTGCTCAGTGTGCTTTTTCTTTTGCTGGAAACAAGTTTTTAAACAAGGTAATGCATCACTTATTAGTGCCCTTTCTACCACCGCTCATCACTTTAATGTGTAAACAGAAGAAAAAAAAATATGTATCAATCAATGATCATGGTAAAGTATTGAACATCAATAACTGGTAAAAATTTATAGAATATTATAGTCATCAACATAATTTGTTCTCGAATTCTGTGTACATCGTACAACGTAATATTAGGAACGCAATGACTAATGTGCAGCAGTTTTGATGTAATATTCAACAACTTTTTTCTGCATTCGTTAGATGTGGTATGTGTCTCCAGTGGGATGCCTTGACCACTTATTATTTTCAAGAGCTGACATCTACTAACTAGACGTGAAAAAGAACTGGCATCACTGATAAGTTCTAAATGTGGCTTGCTCAATGCTTCAGTGGCGCCACCATGACAAATGCAAGCATATTCCCAACTAAAATATTATTTGCGATGAATGTGATTGTGAGTGTTATGTCTGTTTGTCTGTGATATAGTGTTCAAGTGTTCATCCTGCAGTTTGCGTCACTTTTTATCAAGTGAGTGAACTCTGTATGAACGAAGGCTAGCAGCTCAAAGAACTAGCACGAATTTCAGTTATTCTAGAAATCTCATGCTGGTAAATGCTGATGCCTTTTTCACATTGTGCTGGTTACATTAAAGTACAGTTCTTTTACACTAGCGCTAGTGAACCAGCGTATATGTAAACACCACATTGATTTATAGCGACTGTAATATTGTCACGACGCGTGGTAGTCTAGTTATATTTTTCTGAAAAATATTTTTTAATACCTTTTATTTGAAAAAAAAAATGATTTCCTGGCCACCCTAACATGAAAATGGTCACTCTAATGACACAATAAAAAAAAAAAAACGGGTCTAATATTTTGCGATAAGGAACAAAATTACCATTTTTTTTCAAAATTTCCATTTTTTTCAAAATTTTGAGAACCACTATATCGTTTTGCTATGGAATGGCTGATAATCTAAACAAGGGATCAGCATATACCAGAATGGGATTTCAGGAGCAACTGAAATTGGTGCTAGTTGGTTGAGCTGGTGGAGATAGTTATGTCGGACTTTAAAAACAAATATCAAAATATTGAATCTTGGAAAATTTTCATGATTCTGGCATTCGTGGCATTACCTTAAGAATTTCTGTGACAATTTCTGAAGAATTTTGTTACGAACTTAAAAGGAATTCTAAGGATATAAAAGCAGGGGTATTCTAAGAGAGTTTTGACTGGAATTTCCATTTCATTTGTGAGGAAAACTTCTAAGGAATGCCTCAAATTTAATTCTTTTTGATTCCAGGTAAATGTTCAAGAGAAATCTAAGAGTGTTTCGAGAAGAATTCAAAAAGTAGCTCTGATGAGAATTCAGAGGAGGAGAGCTTTAATTTATTTCTAAGAAAAATTCCAAGGTAAAAAGAAAATTCTGAAGAAATAGTAAAAAAATATTTTAATATAATTATTTTGAAACCATGTAAATAATTCCAAGGGAATTGTTCCCGAAGACGACCACAAGATGGAGGCACAGATTTCCATAAACTTAAACAAACTTTATTTCAGTTGTGGTCTTTTTCCGTTCAGTGTTTTCCATTTGTTCCGCTACGTCCGGAAAGCGGTTTCGCATGGTAGTAGGTATATGGGACTCTTGATCTCTCGATTAACCTCTTAAATTCACCAAAAACCTCCAACTAATCTAATCTGTGATAATTCACTAATCCGTACTGGTTAACTTTAAGTAACTAACTAATTTAATTTATTATTTTAGGTTCTACTATTTAAATAAGGTTTTAATAGAAAACATATTTGATAAATGGATGCGAACACGCGAATCAATATTTACTTCCGCTGCTGATTGTTCTTCGTGCTTTGACGGCTCCCCATTCTATTCCTCCTATCCCGTGCTGTGCCTTTGTTCCGTTGATATTGACAGTTATGCGCTGCAGCGACTACATCGTATAGTGCCAGTGACGGTGGGTCTCGATGGGGGCCGGTTGGTAACGGAGGCGCGTTCGTATATTGCGTAACACGAATCCCAGGAATCCTGAAAGCATTCCAAGAGAATGCTGAGTAGAAATTTTATCGTCAGTCCATGAGCAGTATGATTTCACGGGTATTTTAGAAAAAGGCTTAGGGAATGCCTCAGAATATTGAATAAGAATTGTGAGGAAGTATTTTTAAAGAATTGTGAATAGAACTCTTTGGGAGTTCTGGCTAGAATTACTGGAACATTATGAGGAGAGTTTGATAGATGTTCTGAGGACAAGAATTCTTGAGTTTTCCAATACGATTCCTATGCGAATTTCAAGGAAACTCAAAATGAAATTCTATGAAAATTCTTAAGAATATTTTAAGGAATTCGAAAGTAAAATTCAAATTTAATATAAAGAATAGTTCCATAGAAATTTTGGGACAATAATTAGAAAATACTTAGAAGAATTGAATTCCAAATAGACTAGATAATTTGAAAAAAACCCTTCTTGAGCTTACGCCTCATATGATTTACAATGAGAATGAATCGGGATTGTTTTCAAAATGTTCACAATCTTGCTTTTCTTCTTGTTATTGTTTTGAAATTGAATAAACTCCCAACCTTTCAATATTGAATGTAAATGTTATATAACGTGTGAATTCGTTATATAAAAAATGAGAATTTTCATTTGGGCTCATCAAAAAACTTCCCTTTCGAAGGAAGGCGTGATCAGAGATGTTATGCCTCAGAATATCCCGGTAGCGCTGACTGGGATTGAACCCAGGCCTGCTGGGGTTAGAGGTAATCAGACCACTGGCGCCGCTATTTTTTTTAAAGAAATGGAATCAAAATTTTCTTCAGACATTTATTTTAGTACACTGTTTGGTTGATAGCCGAACCGCTTTGCTTGAATCATGGCTTAGAAATTCCTCTCTCCGATATGACGATATAGAGTATCACTTTCATCAATATCCTTTATGTTCAAACTTGTGTTTAAATTTGAATCTTACATTTGGAGATGTTGTACTGAATCTGAATAATATCGATCATTTCCAGGAATGTGAGATTTTTAGAGAGTAAAGTAACTTACATCATCCAAAACGAGATATTTTCCTGAGTAATTTCTTGGATTTTCACGTTCGAAATTTGTTGATCGGTGTATTCAAGAGCTCTCGATTTCTTTCGACAAACTATTCCTATCCTTTTCAACGTTTTAGAGATGTGAGGTTGCAGGCACATGAATTTTTTCGTGAAGTCCCGCTGAATTATCGAGTCTTTGTTGTTGAACGTGTTGTGTAGCGATCCAAGTCCTTTTTTATTCATTATATTGGCTGGTTTTCCACTACCCCTCTTCCGAACTGTTGTCAAGGATGCCAGAATACGATAAACAGTAGAAAGTGGTACATTCTCAGGTAAATGATCACATTCATGCCGTGTTATAATGTTTCGACAATCAACAAACTGGGATTGGTGGTTATTGGAAAATCCCGTAACCCCAGAGCATTCAACAGTGTTTGAATTCCTGTAACAAAAAATGACTGGATGACACGTGAGCTGTTCCAAACCTGATTCCATAATGACTTTGTTCCAGGAGTCCAACGATTTGCTGCTGAACGACTGATACCACCCAAGGCCATTTTGCTCTTTTAGATAACTGTTTACTCCATCAGCCCAGCCAGTGTGGTATTGTTCTGGTATTGCATTATCATAGTTTGGTATTGTGCGAACATTTTTTTGTTATTATTTTTTGGTATTTTACCTCTTATGATATTCTCTATATATTCGAGATATTTGTTCCTGCTCGGGATCGCCCGCAACAAGGATAACAGCACCGATGAATGTCTGAAGCAAGATCTAATTAAAAGAAGTATGTTTTTGGGTACAAAAAGCCTGGGCAGAATTACACGACGATGTGATTCAGGAATTCTTGGATGAAAATTGGACTATTCGTTGGAAGAAAATGTGTTCATGAAGATGACATTCCGTTGGCACAACTTTTGGGCTGGAACAATAATCATGATAACACCGTGATCGCCCACAATGTGGAAGACCGATATGCTAGTAAAGCTCATACAGATGAAGATAGGATATAGCACTACTTGATGATTCCTGGGGGATTGATTTGGACGAAGTAAGATCTATAACTACAAAGTTTCATAATATGATAGCTCCACGTGATGATGGAATTTTCTATATCCTCAACAAAAAAACTCCCAGAGAGTACCTTGTCTTTCTTGGTAAAATTATTTAACAGATGTTTCCATTTGGCATACTTTCCTGATAAATGGAAAAATGCAAAAGTTGTTCCAATTTTGAAGCCGGATAAAAATCCAGCTGAAGCTTCTAGCTACCGTCCAATAAGTTTGCTTTCTTCAATAGGTAAATCTGTAATCTGTATATACAGATATCTGTATCAAAATATTGAAAAAAATCTGTATGATTACAGATAAATCTGTATATGTGGCATCACTGCTCAGAGGTTGCCTTGATCAAGAGAATGTTGTTATGTCAAAATTCAGATTCATGCGAGTAGTTGGTCTATCTGTAAATGTTGTCTTCGTTTTCAGCTAAGTTGAGTGTAGCAGGAATGATTTTTATCAGCACTGGTCCTCATAACCGATCAATCAAATCTGAGAAGTTCAAATAATTTTATCAAAATTCTAATTTTACGTACGTATTTTTGATACCAGCTTATTATTGCCAAGGTTTCTATTTTTCTATTAAGTCTCCTTAATAAAGATATAAAAAAAACCTATTTTCGTGCATTAGAACACAACCTCAATTTTTTTTCCAACAGTGAAAATCCTCCATGAAAATACCATGTATAAAGATGTTTTTATTTGACGAAATTTAGGCTACAATATCGAACATGCTTTTTAAATATGATTATGTACAAGTCGAAACTTTCTGAGTATTATTCTTTTCCAGCGAATCTTATTCCTAAAACATACAACTATCATCAATCGAACTGTTTCTACGGAATTTCAAATCACACAATCACGGCATCCATCACGACTCTCCCCAGAACCACTTGAAGTCGAACCCTTTCAGGCCGGCCTGCTTTTCCGTATCCTCCCGGGGCGTTTCCTCCGGGCTGACCTTTTCGAATTTGATATGCGGCTGGAATCCAAACTCATTCGCTTTGTACGTTACACCTCGGCGAATGCCATCCCGTCCGACGGCGTAGTATCCTCCTTCCTTGTTACCCTGCCGGTCTCCCTGCTCGTGGTGCCCGTGGTAGCCGACGGTGTAGTTGAACCGGTACAGCAAACCATTCAGAATGTGCTGGATCATCATGTTGGCAGTGTTGACGTGATCGAACTTTCCACCGGAGCCCGAAGGTGGTGTAGTCGACGATGATTTGGATGGTTTGAAATTGGCGGCTTGGACGTTTCCAGCGTTGCCTGGCTTGCCGCCCTCGTTGGTGGGTGGTGGTTCGAGTGGTTGGGAGGACGGTGGCTTGCTGAACGTTTGCATACCATCGGGGGACTGTGGCTGAGGTTTTTTCGACTCTTTCGAGCTGGGAGCTTTCGTGTTTGGTTGTTTGTCGACGAGCTTTTGCGGTGTTTCCTCTGGATCGGACTTTGATTTATCGTTTGCCGAGGGAGAGGCAGTGGTAGTGATGGGTTTTGCTGTAGTAACACTTTCGATGTCGTTTTTGTTGACTATTTTGAATGGAGGAACATACTGGGTACTGGTTTCGGGCAGTGCGGGTTCCGTCGTTGATGTTGTTGCTGGTGCCGTGGTGGTTGTTTCAGGAATTTTGCAACCGGAACAGGCAGCGAAACCCGATGGTTTTGCAGTCGTCAGCGGCTTGGCAGTGGTGATTATTCTAAAGGGTTGCGGGGTGGTCGATGTAGTCGTGGTGGTGGTGGGGGCCGCAGTCGTGGTCGTTGGGGCACTGGTGGTAGGAGGGGGAGCTGTCGGTCCCAGTTTGTAGTTTTTCATGCTGACAATTTTGAAATTGCCATTCTCGTCGGTTGCGTAAACCGTCACGTGGTACACATTGTCAGCCGTGATGAAACCGAACTCTCCCATGACGATGCCATTTTTGTCTGGAAAGATTTGGGGAAAATTTGAATTCAAAATTAATTCACTCGAAATTTACTTGTTCAAACGATGGGATACATAGGACCGAATGAGAATAAGAAGGGTATTGGTGTTAATGCATTTTAACTATAGATGTTTGCATATTTAAATGACAACCAAACAAATGTTTGTCTGCTCATGGATTTGTTTTGGTCAAAAGTTCAATCTCGTCAAGTTTTATATTGACAAAATTTACATTTTTATTTGGATGATTGCTAACGTCACACGAACTCCACTCCCACATTGTTGGTAAATAAAAATCGTCTCTAAAAATAGCTGGAAACCTGATAAGGCACCCGTTTCTCTAGCAGTGCCCACATGACATCATACGGTGGACGAAGGATATTCTGAGACGACATCGAATGCCTCTTAAGTGCACCCCACACGACAGAAGTTTCGTCAATATTTCCATCAATATTTCCAAGACAGTATTTTAAACAATACAAAAATACAGGGCCGCTCCTCACTAAAATTGTTGTAATCGATGGAGTATTCCGAATCAAATCACAACCTTCCTAACAAAAGTTTCTGAGGAAATATTGAAAAACAAAATCAAACTTTTTTGATTTTGCGTCAAAAAATTCTATTGACAATATTTTTGTTCGTGTAGGGGCACTCCACGCATCCCACATCTATTTATTAATATTGGTGGTGTAAGGTAATATCACAGACAAACAGACGTAACTCTTTGAAAAACTTGTTCTTGAAAACATAGTATCTCAAAACATATAACCTCAGTAACGACATCTCTCTGGCTTCTCGCGGAAAACAAGCTTGCTCGCTAACTCGTAAACAATATTGCATAAAAGTTCTATCGAATGTATGGAAACGTCAAAGTGATCCGATGCCAGCGCTGCGGCGAGTAGTTCGCGGAACTGATAATATTCAAATCAACCGTTAAATGCATGAACGAAGACACACAATGAAGAGTTACGTCTGTTTGTCTGTGGTAATATTGTCGATTCATATTGATCTTATTGATACGTGTGGTGCCCGCTTTACCTTTCGACTCTTTCCGATGCTGGTGACCTTCGATGTTGAAGCCAAACTCGTACGGTCGGATGGGGCCGTCGTAATACTTGGATGCTGCTCGGACCGCTGACACCAGCAAGACGATGTGGATCTGCATAAAAAAAAAAAAACAAAAACAGGGTTTGTTTGGGTTAGTTCAAATTTACTATGGGAATCATCCCGCTTCGGGAGACAAAACACAATAAAACGGGTGCTTAAAGCGTAGTGATGGACCAGTCCGTGTGACATTTTTATGGGGCAGAATGTGTGAATTATGCACATCTGGAATCGAGAGGGTGTGGAAAATGGTTTGTTGTTGTTTATCTTCGGGTGCAGAGACAGCAGCCGATAAAAATGCCATTCAAATGAGCACCGATGCGATTGCGGGATGCATTAATGATGTCCGATGCTCAGTGGGTGGGATTGCGTTATGCAAATTACCGGGAGGTCAACGGACAACCGGAAACGGGTGGATGGGTGAATACTGTGCATCGTTTGTTTGTGGTTGAACCGGTGTGAATGGGATACTGATTTGAAATATCTGGATAATGACTGATTGATTTCAAAATGATTATTCAAGACATCAATGAAACGCTAAAATGCCAACCATAATAATTATATTATGGGTGTATAGCTGAATGTTAAAGAATTTTGGTTCCCACTCCTGGTTTCTTGAAAATCTAGATGCTAATTTATTCTGACTCCCCATGACTGATGTGACGGCATCCAAACATTTTCTTAAATTCTTATGATACCTTTCTTAGATTTAAATTTGAATCCTTTTGAGAATTCATGGATTCAAATGATGGATTTTGGAGAGCTCCATCTCGAAATCTGCTTGAGCGGTGCCGGTGATGCAGCAGGCCTGGGTTCAATCCCAGTCAGCGCCGCCGGGATGTTCTGAGGCATAACATCTCTTCGGAAGGGTATTGTAGGTGTACAAACCCTTCATAGTATTATGTATGTATGTATGTATGTAAGTAGCCACCATCCTAGCTTGGGTCTTGCCCTGTATGCGGCTCCACTCAACAGCCACATCAAATTCCGTCATCATTCTGAATTCAACATACTGCTGTATGAAGGGCCAAAAAGGGTTGGACGGGCCCGTAAGCAGAGGCACTTAATATAATACCAAAGTATTGAATCAACAGACCGAAAATCGAGGTTATTTGGACATGAGACATTATATTTATAAAAGGATACTACCAAACCGACCATCAAACGCACTGCCCACAAAAGCAGACACGTCCCCTCGAAAATGTAATCGAGAAATGTACAAGAACAATCCTCAACTGGAACGTACTCACCAAATCAATATATCCGGGAGCGCAGTCCCGATGTCGTCGAACGGCAAAAAAAGGGAACTCGGTGAACAAATTTGTGATATGGAATTTTCACTGAAAACAACCGCGAATTGCACCACACCCAACTGCGAAACACGTTCAGAAGCACTTTTGGTACACTTTCGATAGGCAAACATAATTTTGAATATAAAAACCAATAAATGATCCATAAAATATTTGAAAACGTTCCATAAAAACATCCAAATGATCCATAAAATATCGGAGAAAATCCCTAAAAAAGTGTGAATGATCCATAAAAAATATCACTATGATCCTTTTTTATGTAAAATTTAGCAACACAATTGCAAAAATGTACCGCTAAATTTCTAAAGAATGAGCATTGAAATTGTACGAATTACCCATATTGCAATTGATCCATAACACATTCAGCAGTGAACCTTAAACTAAAGAAAGTGATCCATAGTGATCCAAAATCAAGTTTGAGCACTTACAAATATAGCCATGTTCGGATTAATGAAAGCAACTTCCTCAGAGCAGTCTCGTTTGCTTGGACAGCTTGAAGCTTTTATTAAACTAATATAAAATCTAAACCAATCTTAATGCTTATAATAAAACCTATTTCAGCTTCAATCTGTCCAAAACGAGACTGCTCTGAGGGAGTTGCTTTCATTAATCCGAACATTCTTGAAGAACAACATTGGATATAACCTCAAAATGTCAGAGGGATCAACACCACCTTTAAGTGAAGAACGGAACAGCGATCGAAACTGTACGCTTTGTGAAGGAGATGACCACGTAGATGATATGGTCTAGTGTGATGTCTGTGATTTTTGGACCCATTATAGTTGTGCTGGTGAGACAACAGCTGTAAAGGAGGTTCCGTAGACGTGCTCGCAGTGCACAAATATGCTGAAGGTACCGAAAGGAACCAAGAAGTCTGTTCCAAAGAAACCACCTAGCAGAAAGAATAGTGCGAGTAGTGATGCCGGATCCGAATCTGGAAAAGGAAGTACCAATGAGGTCAGCTTGGAGGAATCCCTAGACCAGTTGCAGCAGGAGAAAGGTGCAAAGGAGAAAGCGCTGGAAGAAGAAAAATTCCTCCAAGAAAAGCGATAGGAGGCTGAGCGGGAGATTTTTTCAAACCAAGAGTTATCTTTCGTCACTCTTTCAACAAAGATTTTGCTAGATTTAGGATTTAGGGATTCAATTATTATTTTAGTTAGGCACGTCAACGATTAAGAATGAGCTACTTACTACACAGCTAAAAAAAAGTAATGTAAATCTCCGTTACTATGATGCACATAAATGGAGCGTCATTAATCATACAAATTTACATTATAAATCGTGTAAATTTATGAGACATGTCATGCAATATTCCATATATTGTATGCAACTTTCCACCTTTGTTTGCAACATTTCTTGCAAGCTGCTAATTTACGTGAAAACGAAAATTACATGCATGAATGTTTGCATGCATGGATGTTTACATCACCAGTAAAATTCAGACTTTTTTAGTGTGTATAATAATTAATTCATTTAATTTATCTTTATTAGGGAGGCTTTCAGCCTTGGGCTGGTTCGCCTCCAATTCTTGTATAATAATTTTCTTAAGAAAATATGAAAAATAAATGTTAATTTTATGGGTCATACCTAGGGTAGGTGTTCCAGTTATTGGTAGACGTGCCTATTATGGTGTGTTCCAATTATAATCTATGGAATATAAATATGTTTTCATGTTTTGAACCCATTTTTAAATTTGATCCATAAACCTTGGAAAATTTCTACATAACTGCGTAGCTACTCAGGTTTACTGTTCTGCCCGTGTTTTTTTTTTGTCAGAAGAGCGGAACGATGGGCGAGCGTCTAGAATAAGCTTCTTAAAGAAGTTCCTAAATGAAGCTTCAATAGGAAGCTTCTTAAGAATATTATTATAGAATATTATTTTGGAAGCTAATTCTAGACGCTTGCCCGTCGCTGCGCACCTCTACCTAAAATACACGGGCAGGACAATAAATCTAAGTAGATATGCAGTGGAGCAATTTTTCAAGGTTTATGGAACAACATTTTTAAAAACAGTGTCCTAAACATGAATTATTTACGTCTAATTTATGGATCATGCCTATATTTTTAAGAGCGCAAACTTGATTTTTTTTTGATCACTTTCTTTAGTTTAAGGTTCATTGCTGAATGTTTTATGGATCAATTGCAATATGTTTATGGATAATTCGTACAATTTCAATGCTCATTTTTGAGAAATTTAGAGGTACATTGTTGAAATTGTATTGCTAAATTTTACATAAAATATTGATAATATTGATATTTTTTATGGATCATCCACACTTTTTTAGGGATTTTCTCCGATGTTTTATGGATCATTTGGATGTTTTTAATGGAATGTTTTTGAATATTTTATGGATCGTTTTATCAATTCTAAAGCTGCATACTTAGGGCTGCCCTTTCGATATCAATCTCGTTCGAAAACACTTAATTTTTTTTTTTTTTTTTTCAAAAATAGTTGCAACATCAACACCGATCGTACTGAGCTCTTTCACGCACCTTGCAGCGCGTACATAAACTGAAACTAAACATTATCACTCGCGATGCCACAAATATCTGGTCAGGGAGAAAAAAAAAATCAAACAACGCAGAAAGCGCCAAATCTTCTGATGCTTGCAAACATGATGAATCACGTTTTCTTTCTCAAATCTAAAACTTCCCAGAAAGCGAGAAAACCACCATTCACACACGTATAACCGTCCGGGAGGCAGAGTGCCAGCGCTAATCCGGCAAATGCAGCCGAAAACTATGAAAGCGAACGCACGGACAAAGCAGACAACAAACTTAAAACACAACCGTATCCAAAGGGGTTCCGTGCGCGACTGAACCCTTCATAGTATTATCCCCACAAAACTCTTGGACCATTCCGTCAGTTCTAGTTGCGCATAAGCACCTTCCAAATCAAGCGCACCAACTCTGCTTTAAAACCGTTTATTAGTTTACAAAAATCCTTCTCAAATACATTACCGAAACGCTCTCTTAAATTTGCTACAGCACTTCCGCCAGATTCCTGATTCAAATGATTGATTACCAATGATTCCGAGAAGAAATTCTTCCAATTGGGATAAACAAAAATCTGGCTAAGTTAAACCTAATAATGGAAGAAAGTCGTTTTCACAATGGAGCACTAGTAAAGACATTGGCTCCTTTGTTCTATTAAAGTTTATCAAAACTGTTGCTTCCTCCATAATTTTCATTTTTGCACCATTTACAACAATAAGTTGTTTCCCATCTCAGTTATCTTTTTCTACTGCAGTGTTCCCTCGGCTGTTGACAATAGCAGGCCACTCTCAATGTGTGCCACGCGATCGTCTGTTTTCTTGGAAGCAACCATTGTGGATGGCTTCATTGTTCATCATCAGCAGTTCTTTCGGTCGATGCGTCGTCGACTTCGGAAAGCAACCGTTTAGTGATGAGTGTGTGAGTGCTGACCACGTTTTGCGTCCATTGCTGCAATGGAAGCGCTCTGTCACCCGTTGGCGTAACTGCCATACAATGAAACCACTGGAAGCGGCTCCAGTTCTGATGGAGGAGCCTCATTGGATAGCGGAAGATAAAGTGTTTATTATGTTGTATCTTTTGACTATGGTTTGACCCCAGTCCACTTTGAAAGGCTGTAACTTTTTCTTATTTGTCGATGTATTTTAATAATTCTTTCGTGAGTAGGTGCATCCACCAGTTCTCTTTAATATTAGATGAAATATGCTCCAAAAACTTGAAAACATATTTATTGGAAATTATTTATTGAAAA